AGGTGAATCTGATGGCAACTACCCTTACTACCCCAACTACCGTCTATATTTCAGAGAGACCCCACTCCCACCCTTGGAGTTGAATCTGATGGCAACTACCCTTACTACCCCAACTACCGTCTGTTTTTTAAAGAGACCCCATCCCCACTCTGTGTTCATTCTATGCGCATGGTATACAATATGGGTATCGATTCCCATGAAATCACATGTTTTAAGCTTGTTTTTGGCATTCATAACACTCTCCGACCTTTACTATGCTCACCACCCACCTTCTGAAGGGTGCACATTTCGCAGTCAAAAATAAGGCATTTTATACATACAGTCATTCATTTGGTGTACAGTCCCGTTTTGCCTCATATTGTCTTTATTTGTACAGTAGTGCTTGCCTTGGCTAGTTGAAATTCGGCCTGGTTCATGAAATGAACTGGAATGTACAATGCCTTCTGTCTTTTTTATAGTGTGTAATCTTTACATTGTAGGTCTGTTTGTTGTTCTCTGTACATAGTACTTTGTACACTTTTTGATATTTTATGTTTCTGGAATCCTGAGTTTAAAGTCCATGTTTACTTACAAGCATTATCTCAGGTTTGAACAGTATAAAAGATTGAATAAGTTTATGTATGTATTAGTGCTTTATAAAGTTTAAAACTTTACTGCTAAACTCAGAAACACTATAAGGTAAAATATTCATTTATCAATTTATTTTAAATAGTTTTTAATGCAAATTATAAGTCAGTTTAAGCAATTAAGAAAAAATTTATAAATCATTTTACTAAACAACATTTCTTTCAGGTATGATTCTTTCGATTGTATCTATTCTTTTTGCTGGATATATGGCCTCCTGTAGCAGGGTAAGTTTTTATATTAATTCAAACCTTATCCTGCTATTTATAGGCAAAACCGAGATGGAATTTAAAGAATTTGAGCCGCGGTTTAAATCAGCTAAAACCCGGTTTAAATTTTGCGCCGGCTTAAATCTTGAAACATTTGATACAATTTTAAGTGGAACCAACCATATTTAAGCTGCGGCTTATATTTAAACCGCCACTCAAATTCTTTAGATTCGGCCACAGTATGCTTTATTTAATGACAGTGTGAAAACGATTTCACTCGATAATAAATCTTACAGCTTTCTTTCTATTTTCATATTTGTAATTATAAGCTAGGTTTTAATTGTGATTTTGTTTATATTGGTATTTATTGTAGGGATCTGTTTCTGCAGAAACAACTGCTGTACTTCTAGGAGGTATTTATGGTAAGTTTTTATTATTTTATTCTTATTCAATAAAGAAACCAAAATATACACTTCTGCAGAACACATGATATCTGTTCATTTAATTCTATATAAACATTAACATTTAAAATTGTTTTATTTCAAATATATAAATTAGATTATTATGATTGAATCAAAATTGTTTAACAAATATTATGATTAATATAAAGAAACTCACCATAGATTTATTTTCAGTGGAAACTTTCAACTTTAAAAAAAAATCTAATTTTAATTTTTATTTTAAATCTAAATTATATTTTTACATTATCTAGAATATATGATAAAATATAATTATAATATGTAAGTTTTTATGATCGCAAATAATGTTTTATAAATATTTACTGAAATATTTCAGCAAGACAAAAACATTAATGAATCATATTAAAATTATATTTATATAGGTGGGAAAACTGAATCATATCCCTGTGA